TGAGCTCCTAATAAAAAATTACTAAGTCCCTCCAAAAAACACCATTGGTAAGAGTCAGCAGAAACATTCCCACAAGCAAGTCCGTCAGGTATGGGAATTATCAGAAAAATAATATAAAATAAACATGTGTTAAGTGTTTAAAGAAACAAAGGACGGAGTCACAAAATGAGTAAACCAGAAGAGATTAAACAAAACTTCCAAGCTTTGAGAAAGAACCAAATAAAAATTTTGTATAAAAGATAGAATGGATGAGTGAAGGCAGCTTGAACAGAGCAGAAGTGAGAAGCAGTGAAACAGGAGACCTTAATAAACTACCCACAATACAGCACAATAATATCAGAAAAACAACAGTGAGATGTTTAAAGCTACAGAATAGAAAGTAAGGTCTGATGTATGCCTAGAGTTCCAGAAGGAGAGGGGAGAGAAGGGAAGACAGGGCAGACAGGAGAAGATGATGACCGAGAACTTTCCAGAACTGAGGAAAAGCAAGACTCCACAGAAACAGTGAGCAGGATAAATATCAAGCAAGACGGAAAAATAGAAAATAAAAAAAGAACAGGAAAGAAGGAAAGAAAAGAAATCCACACTTAGATACTGGGTAACGAAATGGCAGAACATGAAAGACAAAGTGAAAAACTTAAAAGCAGACAAAGTGGGTAAAAAACAGATTACACTCAGTAAGTGACATCCCAGTAGCAATAGCGCACCAAGTCCCAGATTTTGGTTTCTCATACCATCCTCCAGTGAAAGGAACCAGTGGTCCTTGGGCAAATGGGCAGAAAATACCTGAGCTGAGCCTGGAACACCCTGCTGTCCTAGAAGTGCACACTGACGGAGCCCAAAGCCCAAAGCCGGAACAATGTGAGAAACTAGCATCGGATTCTATCCCAAGGTGAAATAAATATCTATGAGTACATACTGATATAATGATTTCATTAATAATAAGGGAGAAGAGACATATCTTCCTTGCAAAAGAATTCCACATTACTATAGAAGGGCATTTTACAAATTCTGATCATCAGAAGATCATCAAAAATGAGGGAAATCTGACAATCACAGTGAAGAGGAGACTAGGCAGATATGATAGCTAAAATTAATTTGATGTTCTGGGTGGAATCTTGGAACAGACAAAACGCATTAGGTAAAAGCTAAGGAAATCTGAATAAGGTATGGATTTTAGTTAATGATGCTGCAAAGTTGTAAGCAGCATACCGTCCTAATGTAAGATGTTAATGAGGGGAAACTGGGTGTGGGATAAACGGGAGTTCTCTATACCTTATCCTCTCATTTTCTCCATAAATATAAAACTGTTTTTAAAGTAGTCTATTTTAAAAACTGGGGCAAAAAGAAGCATAGAAGAAAGTGGGAAAGATGAAAAAAGTAAGATGGTATATCAAAAATCACAATACATGTAAATGGACCATAATTAAAAGAGTGTAATAGTTTAAATTTTTTAACATAAAATTCATCTATGTTTTTTATGAGAACAATGAAGACATGAAATTGAAACCAAAGGGATGAAAAAAGTTATACCAGTAAATTATTAATGAAAGGTAGTCTCAAAATAGAATATCACTAAATTATTTTTTAATGTCATTCACCAGAGAGACACATCTAAGTTTGTACACATGTGATAAAACAACCTTAAAATATATATAACAAATTTAACAGAACTACAGGGGAAAATGGTCAAATCCACCATTCCAGTAAAAGAGTTCATCATACACACACACAAACACATGCCAAATTCAGGTGTCAACATGTTGCAAGAAATTGGTGGTATCAAAGATATTCTTTAACAAGATTGCAACTAAATTAAGAACCATGACAAAAATAGCAACAACAAAACCAAAATAATATCCCATATACTTCGAAATTTAAAATATACACCTTAAATAACTCATGCTTCAAAATGAAGTTAAGATAAAAATTAAATGTACTTAGAAATAATCTCTGGAAGAAGACACACACACTTTTTACATTTGTGCTGTTTTAATTGGGAATGAGGGGGTTAGTGCTGACAGGGGCGCATGGGAGATATTTCACTCTATTTTTATGACTTTTAAATTCTGATTGGTGTTAACACATTTCCTAATCAAATAAATTCATAACATTTAAATTCTGAGAAATGATTGATAATGAAAATATGCCTTATCAAATCCTGAAGGATGAAACTAAAGTGAAGGAAATAGGTGGCCTTAACGTGCTACTTATTTTTAAAAGGCGAATTATTAGTGAAATAGGCAGCCAATTTAAGGAATTAGCAAGATAGAACTATTTCCGGTAAGACTGATGAAGGAAACAGGAAAGAAGGCACAAATAAACAAATATGAGAGATAAAAATAAAGTATGGCAATATTATCTAGAAAAAAGAGATAATAGCTAATATTAAAATTTAAGAACAACATAGTACGGGATCCATCACAGATTAAAAAGATAATAAGGTGATACCATAACAATATTATGCCAATAACTGGAGATCCTAGGTGAAACAGATTCCTAGGAAAATAAAGAATGAAGAAACAATCAACTAAAACAATCCAATTAAAAAAATTGAAAGAACAGTTAAGAATCTCTCACACTAAGAAAACACTAAGCTCAGATAATTTTGTAGGTGAGTTCTAGAAAAATAACCCAGGAGATAGATCATTCTAATCTTTTACAAACTTTTCCAGAGAATAGAAAATGAGAAATATACACTGAAACTATTTCAGAAGTCATAATATTGATACCAAAGGATGACAGGAATAGGAAGAGAAATAAAAATTATAGGCCAACTCAGTCATGAACCAGACATAAAAATCTCAAATAAATTATTAGCAAATCAAGCCCAGTAATGCATAAAAATAAAATATGTAAACAGCAAGTTGCAGAGAATGCAAGGGCAGTATAACATTTATAAAATTCTATAAATGCCAATAAATATCAGATTTAGATGAAAAGGAAAAATTCCTAAACTATAAAATTTTTCCAAAACTGACTAGAAAAAACTGCAAAATGTGAATCATGCTATAACCACTAAAAAAATTTAAATAGTAGTCAAAAATCTTTCCAGAAATAAAATATCAAGCCCAGATGGCTTTATTGGCCAGTTCCACCGAATATTCAAGAAACAAATACCTCACTCGTACACTAATTCTTTCAGAGAATAGAAAAAGGAGGTTTATTCAGCAGCTCAAATTATGAGACTAGCACAACATCAATGAAAAACACGTCCAAAAAAGAAAAATCAAAAAAATAAAAAAAAAATAAAAATCTCAGGTCAATCTGTCTCAACAATTATTAGCAAATTGAATCCAACGACATTACATCATGAAAAAATTGGATGGTACATAGTGTTGGTTTAATGTTAGACAATAACCTATAACATGATTTATTCCATTTATGTATTAAAAGAAAAAGCCTTATGATTTTCTCAATACACAGAAAAACATTTGATAAAATTCCACCATAGAAACTCTTAGTAACATAGGAATAGAAGAGACCATTCTTAACCAGATAAAAGTATTTACCAAAAACTCAGCAAATTTTATTCATTCTTTATTGTGAAGTTTCAAAATAGCTCTTTTAAAACCAGGAAGAAGCAAAGAATGCCTGCTACCACTGCTTGTATTCATAAGTGCAAGACAAGAAAAAAAATATGAAAACAAAACTGTCTTTAATCATGGATGCTGTAATTGTCTATTGAGAAAAAGTAAAATCAACGCACAAGTTACTAGAAATAATAAGAGCGTTTACAAAGGTATCTGAATCAAAGACCAACGTTTAAAACTCATTTGTAATTTTTATACAGCCGAAAAAAATTATAAAACACCGTTTATAGCTACGTATAACAAATATAAGTTTCTCAGATATGTCCACCAAAAGATGTGCAAAACTCTGAAGAAAAAACTATAACCCTTTTTGAAGGACATTAAAGAAGCTCTAAATACCCGACAGGTACATCGCAGTGATGAAAAGTCTCTCCATCGGCTCTCCCCGAAGTGATCTACAGAATCAATGCAAATCCAACCGAAGTTTCAACAAAAGCTTTCCAAAAACTTGGCAAGTGGGATCTAAAATGTACAGGAATGAACACAGTACCATGCTGTTCCTAAAGAAGAACAGGTGCTGTGGCATTCCACCCTGATATCAGGACCTAGAATAATGTTACTGAAATGAACAGCGTCGTGTTATCACAGAGACCGGGGAGCCCAGAAACGAGCTCCCGTGGGGCAGGGCTGGCGTTGCAGCTCAGTAGGCAAGTAATGAACTAGTCTCAAAACTGTGCTGAGATCATAAGTGATTCAAATGGGAAAAAAAGAAATCATATCCTCATCTTACACAATAGACGAAAATAAACCCCCTCCATTCCTAGCTACGTGTCCAAGAGAAACAAAACACATCCCCACAGAAACGTGCACAGAGTGTGCAAAGCAGCGTCATTCATAACAGCCAAAAACTAGAAACAACCAAAATGTCCATCAACGGATGAATGGACAGATGAAGTCTAGTATATACAAACAACAGAATATTATTCAACAATTAAAAGAAACTGAGAACTAAAACACACAACAACATATATGAACCTTGAAAACATACTGAATAAAACTGCCAGTCACAAAAGACCACATGTGGCATGATTCCACCATATGAACTAGCCAGAACAGGTAAATCCAGAGAGAGGATTTATCAATAGATTAGTGGATACCTGGGGCTGGAATGTTTGGGGGAAACGGAGAGTAACTGTTAACGGCTATCAGTGTTTTGAGAGGAGGTGATAAAATGCTCTAAAATTGATGGGCGATGGCTGCACAACTCCGCGAATAGACTAAAACTCACCAAACTGTACACTTTAAATGGGTGAATTGCATGGAATGGAAATTACCTCTCAACAAAGGATCATTTTAAAAATAATGCTTAGTGGATTAGAGACCAAATGTGAAAGACAAAATTTTTTTAAATACGGGAGATGGCTTTTTTTTTTTTTTTTTTTGGCCGCACATTATGCGGGATCTTAGTTCCCTGACCGGGGATCGAACCCAGGCCACGGCAGTGAGAGTGCTGAGTCCTAACCACTGAACCACCAGGGAATTCCCTGGGAGATGGCGTTTCTACTTCAAGGTAAGGAAGGATTTCTCAAACATAACTCAAAGGGCACTAACTTGAAAAGGTTGATAAATTAGATAAAATATAATTAAGAACCTCTATTCATCAAAAGACACCACAAAGCTAATGAAAAGATAAATCAAAACCTGGAAGGGGAGATTCACAATATAGGTAATTAACAAAACAATAGTATCCAGATTTTGTAAAGCACACCAATAAATAAAGATAAACAACCCAACAGAAAAATGAGGAAGCAACATGAACAGGAACTTCGTAAGAGGCAACATTTTAATGGTAAACATATGAAAAAGTATCCTACTTTATCACTCTTCAGAAAATGCAACATCATTTTACAATCACTCTATCTGCAAAAATGTAGAAGTCTGACAGTACCAAATGTTGGCAAGGATGGTGCTCTTACACACTACTGATGTGAGTGTAAAGTTGTAAAACCCCACTGTAAATTAATTTGGCTTTACCTAGAAAAGCTGGACATTTTCATAAGCTATGTCCCAACGTTTTATAGAGAAAACTCTTCATGTGTACTCCAGGGACATGTTCAAGAATATACATCGTAGCTTTTTAAGAACTACATAACTAGAGATGGCTCAGGTTTCCATCACAATTAACTGACTGCTGGTCATACAATGGGATATTATATCCAGCAAAATGAATAAACCAGAGCTACACACGACAATGGGTGAATATTACAAATAGAATGTAAGTGAAAATGCAAATAACAGATTACCTATAATATGTAATCATATTTATAAAATTAAAAAACAAGCAAAAGGAAAGAGTATGCTGCTTAGAGAACATACACGTGATGAAGCTGTACTGAAAACAATGTTAGGAAACTATCAACACACAAGAACAACGGCTGCCTCAGGGACAGGGATGCCAAGAGTATGGAAGGAAAGAAGAATACAGTAGAGGTGAGAGTTTGAATAATAATGTTTTTCTAACTCTTAACACGGGAGGTTGGTCCATGACGTTCATTTTGTTTGTATGCATTAGTACTGAAGTGTTATTTATGACATATATTCTTCGTAAGTATCAAACACAACATAAATAAATTTTAAAAGATGTTGCAAGGGTTTAAGCCCAGGTGGCCAGGAGAATGCTTCTAACAAGGAAAAACTTCTTGTTGTTAAAATAAATTTTAACAACACTTATTTTAATATAGTCTTTCTATTTATTATGAAAATTTTTTAAATCCTACAATTTTTCCTTTTGTTGGGGCTATTTCATAGGGAACCCTCAATTTCAATCATGTCTTCAGATACCACATTGTTTCCTTATTCTTTACTTTTATCATGAAAAAAAGTTAATTTAAAATATCTTTTCTTTAGAACAACATATTAATAGTTCTAGAATATATTTTAATACTTTATGGTTAATATTAAGGCCACTAAACATTATTTTAAGTCATACAAAATTGATCAAAAATAATTTCTCTATTTTCATTATGCTGGACACAATAAATATATCTTTGGATTTAAGCCTACAGATGAAAGAAAACACATTATTTTAACTTATGGTCTTTTAACCTTCTAAGATTATTTTATAAATATCATGTGCAACAGAACGTTCTCTTTTTGTTGCAAACAACTCTCAGAGGAACCTTAGCATAAAAGACAGTTTAACCTTGTAAGAAAACATTGCTTTTGTCTCCCAAAGAAAAAAGTATCAAAAATGATGATAGATGATTAGTGTGTTTCTAACAAATTAAATACAATAATTAAACACCAATCAGCTCTGTTTTGAACCAGCACAACTGGTATGTAATGAACACCATGGTTCAGGCAGTCGTAGGATCAAACAATACGGATTAGGGAGGATTAAAGAGAAACAAAATGGTAGGAAGTCAGGATCAGGAGGTTGGAACGTAGTATGATCTGAAGCAGAGGTGCTCACAGAATGGCAAGCATCTCTAGAGGACTCTCGCGTTGACTTAGGTCTCAGGTCTTCCGAGACGTTCGATCCTCGGGTAGTTCAGAGCTCTCTGGTCAGCTGTGTCAGTCACTGGTTTGTCTGCCCATCTATGAGCCCATCCATCTCAACGGCCATTGCCTCATCACATCCTATTTTAAGGAGCTGGGTTGTCTGTATCTATTCATGATTCTCAGGGTCCGTTTTTGAAGAGCTGTGTTCTCATCTATACACAGGGCTTATCAAGGAAGCAGAATCCTCAGCGGGGCTGCATTTCAAGAGAACAGCCCGTGCCCCTCAGTGCCTACTCACTGGAGGTGCCCTGCCACCATCAAGGGTGAGGACCCTAAGAACCGGCCTTCCATGAACGTCCTTTGCCGGGTCACAGAGGTGAGAATTAGCACAGAGAACAGGATGGAAGTGCTCTTTCGCCTTAGAGTCTATTAATAAGTAGGAGTTCATTATATAACTTAGCTTTATTTATTAATATATTTCCTGCTTTAAATGTGCTTTATGTAAACATTTAAAATTTGTCCTCAGTTAGATGTCTCTAAAACCTCACTGAGCTCGTTGTCAACAGAAAATACTGGAAGATAACTTTCAGTGTTGGCAGCTGCCAGCTTACGATGGAAAAACGTAACCCATGGATGTTTTTAAAAATAATTTTGTGGGGAAACAACCTGATGACTAGTAAGGTTTTTGTTAGCTATAATATATAATCTAAATATATAATATACTTGCTATAAATTTATAGTATTATATATTTTATTATTAAATATTGTATTTTAAAAATTAAAATACAGATAATAGATTCTTTCTGTTATACTCGGTTATTCATCACTCCTTATGTCAGTTATTTTCGAAGCAACTTCAGATCTTATTCTTCTAGAACTTTAATTTTACTCCAAATGTCTCATTTTATTTTTGAATAAAAGGAATACCTTGAATGAAACGTGAATTTGGGGGATCTGATTAAATATATAGAATTGATGTGAAAGTAGATATTCAGACTTCAAGGAAGGATAGCATCTATATTAAAAAGTCAATACAGCAGAAACTAACACAACACTGTAAAGCAATTATACTCCAATAAAGATGTTAAAAAAAAAAAGTCCAGAGTGGGATATATTAGAAAAATGCAGTTGGATCAACAAAAAATAATATTTTAGAAATATCTATATCTATTTTACAGACACTAAACTTATACCAAGCATAAAACTATATCTTACATGAGATCCAATGTTGATTATAATTTAAAACCTGAAATTCATCTAAAGAGTTAAAATAAAAGCCTATTTTACTGTATAATTATATCCTACAACATTCAATGTATCTTTTAACATATTTTGGAAATTAATGATTTCAAATTAAGCCAAGTATTATAAAATTACTTTACATGTGAGTTAATTTTTTTCCTGAGTTTTAGAATAAAAGTTTATATTTTTTAGTGTTTTTATAGGGCTAAAAAGCTTTTAAAGTGTGTTCCCATAAGCCATAGGAAAGACAGGTAGTTGATAAAAGCAGAAAAGAGAAACATTAAGAGATGCAGGGAAAGTCACATAAAAGTCTGGGTAAGAAACCAGGTCTTCAGATTCCTAGGGCAGCATATTTCCTGTTTATAACCTGCTGCATCTAGGCTGCAAACAGAACTTTCTTGACTCATAATGTCTATGTTCTGTCAAATGGAAAACATTTAAAAAATCCCTTCAGTGACTCAGAGATATTTAGAAAGAAGAGTCAGCAGATTTACCTTATGGTTATTCAAAGATTTCTCTAAGATCCAATATGCATGTTTAGGATATTTAAGGTACATCTGTGTTTCTAGACTCTTGTTCTACAGTTATTAGACCCAGTAATTAAAAATATAATCATTTGCCCACCTTGCAGTTCAGGAAAAATATTGCCTCTGCAACTTGTAAAGATGAGAAAGGAGTTTAAACTGCCCCAAATTCCAAATGAATAGCTTAGCTCTGGAAGGAATTCTATACACAAAATTAAAATGTGGTATCGTTGATCACAATGACACTACTAAATTACATGATGAAGGAGAGGACAGAGCCTAACATATAGGAAAGGCAAGAAAAACTTTAACTTGATTAAAACTTTTTAGAACAATTAATACTCAGTTTTGGAACATACTACAAAGGGCTTACGTCAAGAAATAAAATATATTTTTTACCTGCAAAAGAAGAGAGCACTCTAGGTGGAGAATAAAAAAGAAAAAAAGAAATAGGGTGAAAGTACAAAAGAAAAGCACTCATTAATTTACATGCCTATCTGGAGGAAAAAAAACTTCAAAAGGAGAAGCAGAACATATAATGAGACACATGAACTGGCAAATATTATGTCTGCATTTGTTTTTTGTGAATAATGATGATACTACTAAAAATTCATAACTGATATTGAAATTTATAGTTTTATTCTAAAAGAACCACCCAAATCATCTAATTGCAAATAGGTCTTGAGGAAAGTGAGTGAAAACCAACAGCAATTTGCTTTTAGGTTAAGTTACAATTAATAGGGAAAAAAGGAAGTTCTCATTGGCCTATTTTGGAAACTTGCAAATGAAATGTCTACTACCCTTAAAATGACTGTGTATGAGCATTTATTTTATAGATTAAATATATTAATAATGAACAGAAGCACAAAATATAAATATGTATATATTTTCTAGACTCGCATGGAATTATAAAAGTGGGAACAGTCCCCTGGAGAATTGGGACACTACAAAGACACTATCTTCAAACAGCACTCTTAATAATCTCATCTTGAGAATGCAACATAAAGTATTAAAGAGCAAACACGGACGTATTATCCACAACTCACTTTGGTAGAGTATCAGGGCTAACGAACAGGACCACAGGTCGGGAACATGTTATTTGCAGCATCTAGAAACCCTTAAAGCTATTCCTTTGACAGAGTGTTTCCAGGAACAACAGGTAACCTATTTGGCCTTGGAAGAAAAATAAAATTCAGGGTAGGTTCTTCTCCACTAGAAAACTTCTTCTATAAAGAGTGACATTCAAGTAATCGGAAAGCAGATTTTCAGCAT